ATAATTAACATTCGGGGCGCCTGGGTGGCTCAGTTGGTTAAGCAACTGCCTTCAGCTCAGGTCATGGTCCCAGGGTCCTGGGATCAAGCCTCGCATCGGGCTCCCTGCTTGGCGGGAAGCCTGCTTCTCCCTTTCCCACTCCCCCTGTTTGTGTTCCATCTCTCGCTGTGTCTCTCTGTCAAATAAATAAATAAATAAATAAATAAATAAATAAATAAAATAATTAACATTCAACCAGACTGTTTGGAAGAGGTTATATCCATATCATTACTGATGCACCTAATCCTAAACAGGCTTTCTGTCTTAAAGTATTAGCTTTAATTACATTATAAAACAATCATGATTAACATGTTATTAAAACATGGTTTCATTTTTACCTACTCTTTTTAAATTTTAGTTCGGCAGCCCATGCATTTATGAATAAATGTGAATGGGTTAGGGATATTTGCCCAGAATATTTTACTCCTAAGAAAGCAACATCAGAAAAGTTTGGAGACCACTCTTCAAGATAAACCTTCTGTAACAGCTAAACTGCTTGATGTACCAGCCTCCAGATAGACCTTTCCCAGCAGCCCTGCCCTCAGCTCTTTACATATGCACATCCCAAGAGGCCTTCCAAACCCTTTATCCAGGAAACCTTTCCTGAAGACCCAATATTGAAGATGCTCCCCTTTGGAGTTAGGCCTTCTGAAACACACGTGACCTGTGTCACCAAGACTGGAGAGAGGAGAAACAGTTCTCTAGCTCTGGTTCTCTAGCTCTTAACAGCCTTAGCCTAGAAGTGACACATGACATGTTCGCTCACACTCGATTGGCCAGCACTAGTCACATGGCTCTAAGCCATCTGCAGAGGATGCTGGGAAGCGAGGAGCTCGTGGAGATTTGCTGAACACTAGCTGACTTAACGTCCCAAGCTGTACGTTCCTCAGGACAGAATCCATCTTTTAATACAGTGCCTTGCCTACTGTCTTCTATGGTAGATCACAGTAATATTTTTTCTACCTGATAGTAGTGAAATCACAATATCATTTTTTAATAGACATCCAGACAAAAATCTGATTAAAGAATAAGCTAGAGGGGTGCCTGGGTGGCTCAATCAGTTAAGCATCTGCCTTCAGCTCAGGTCATGATCCCGGGTCCTGGGATTGGGCCCTGAGTCGGGATTCCTGCTCAGTGGGGAGCCTGCTTCTCCCTCTCCCTCTGCCCCTCTACCCTTCCCCCCCATCACTGCTCCAGTGTTCTCTCTCTAGCTCTTGCTCTCTCTCAAATAAAATCTTTTAAAAAGAAAAAGGAATAAGCTAGAAATGTATTTAGAGGCTGGCTAGAGCATGACCTTTACTTAAGAACATCAAAGTTTTGTTATTCTCTCCTGTTTGACAACAGAGTAGTCTGGGTAGATGTTCTAGATATTAGTGTAGAACAGCATTGCCCAGTGTGGTTACATTAAAAGTTCAGTTCCTCAGTCACATTAGCCACACTTTAAGTATTTGATCGCCACAAGTGGCTAGTGACTAGTGCTGATAGTGCAAATGTAGAACATTTTCACCATTGCAGAAAGTTCTATTGAAGGGGATTGTGTGAAGAGCAGTAGGAGATTGTTCTAGATTTGGATATAAATGGTAAAAGAATGAAAATGACCACAGAGAAAGTTACTCTTTTTCTGTTTTTAAAAAAGATTTATGTATTTGAGAGAGTGAGAACTAGCATGTGTGCATGCACAAGAGGTGGACTGGCAGAGAGAGAGGGAGACATGGTGCTCTGCTGAGCACCAGAGCCTGACATGGGACTCAGTCTCAGGACTCTGAGATCATGACCTGAGCAGAAACCAAGAGGCAGATGCTTAACCAACTGCGCCACCCAGGCCCCCCCCAGAGAAAGTTACTTTTGTAGATAACGATCCAGGTAACATTATTTTTCTGCATAAGAAAGTAGATTCAAAAATATTCCCAATTTAGTTCTAAAAGTACTTCTAAGCAGTTGGTAAATATGACCTCAGAAACTGTTTGCTGGAGGTAGTATTGGGATAGTAGAGAAAGCCTGGGACTAGGAGTCAGAAAGCCTGACTTGGAGCCCTAAATCTCTCTTAATTAGCTGGGAGACCTTCTGCAAATCACTTAGTCTCTCTGCTCCTTGCTTTTCTCATTTATAACAGTCGATACCCAGAGGTGTTATTCTAAGCTATTATTTTATTTTCTCTGAGGTCCCTCCTAATTTAAAATCTTTTTTTTAATTAGGTCTGTGGGTAAAAGTACAACTTTTTAAGTAAAAATGACCTTTCTTAAACCCTTCTCCTAAATCTATTTAAACCTCTATATTCAGCCCTTTGGGAACTAAATTCACTTGTTTCCCAGAGATTTCCCCTAATGCCACTCCTCTGAGCAGGCGTGCCAGCCTCTTTTTTGAGGCCAGAGGGCTACCAGCACTCACCGCCGCCCCCCCCGCCCCCGCCACCACCTCCCCGCAGCCACTTGACATCACCTCTTATGAGCAAATCTTCTCCCTGCCTTCAAAGACCTTTGGGAAAAGTGAATCTTACTCTTTAGAATTGGGAACTTGCAAAAAACAAAGTAATTTGGGGTCAGAAATATTTCTTTTTTCATGTGCCTAGCCCCCCTCAACCAATGGAACAAAAAAAACCTTTGTCCGATCTTGTTCTTGTCACTGAAAAGAATGCTTTTTTAGAACTAAGTCTCTCTATGGTTTCTGCTAGATCACATGTCTTTCCATTTCACTCACCTTGGTTATTGGCCATAGGATATCCAGAGGGTGTGCTATGTGTTTAAGACCACGAAGGCTTCCCTTTCTTTCCAGGACAGCTGCAGTGTCCTGGGCGGTCAGGGAGGAGATGTGGCCTCCTGTGCCCTGGTCTTGCCTGTGTTCCAGCCGGTCCTCTTGGGAGAAGGTGGAGCTGGCTGCCGCCTGCTGCTGATGGATTCACAGGTGTTTGTCATTTTCGCACAAAATAAATACTCTGGGCCTATAATTTCTCATTGGTCTCAACCCCAGAAGTGTATTCTGTTGTTGTTGTTTTTGGAAAGTTTCAAAAATGTCTGCTGGGTGGAGATAATTTCAATGGGAGCAAGTGTGTCAGCAGTTAAGTTTCTCAGACACATTTTCCTTTTCTTGTCCGTGTCCAGATAATCCTTAAAAATAGCAAGGACCTAGACCTCAGTGAGGAATTCATGTCAGGAATTTATTCTCCCCTCTGTTTTTGATTTTTTTTTCCTTCATTTCTCCTCTTTTTCTGAGAAAATCTGTAGAAAATAAGAAGGATCTATTTTGCATTGCCAAGAAAAATAATGGGCCTTACTGTTGCCTTCCTCCAACTTTGAAATTGCACCTTGTTCATTTCACAGTGGGACAAAGTCACACTGCAAGTAGAAATTCCAGTTAAGCCTTACTTGTCTTATTTCTATCATTACAACAAAATTCTCAGAAATTTATATCTTTGGATGATCTTTCTGGACCAAGCTCACTAGGTAACTGGGTCCAGGAAGCAACTCCGTTTTCCTGGTTGCTAAATAAGATGCATCATAGCTACAGCGATGCCCCTTCCTCCCTATTTTTGTCATAGTTTTGCATTTTGTGAAGGAGACTCCGTGTGACCTGCTTTGGGGTCACCAAATGGTATCTGTTTACAAATCTGTTGTGGGGATTAATGAGTTAACTCCTTTCTCCCTCTTTAGATACCTGCTTCCTCTTACTCCGTTTCTGTCCCCAGATATATTCTTTTCTCTTGGTTGCTTATAAAAGCGGATTGGTGACTGGCAGCAAAAGTGGGATCTGTTTCCATTTTGAATCCTATAAATTACCAAGGGTACAGAAGTAACAGTAATTGTTTGGCTGGTCCTCGTTAAGCAGAAGGGGGTCTGGGCTGAATTTCCTCAGTAAAACCGTTGTGGACTTTACAACGCGAACACCTCTGCAGCTACCCTGTGCTCAGATAAGAAACAGCCCCCCTGTCCTGTTTGTCTGCTTGTCTTCTCTTTGCCCTTTATTCTTTGTGTTCATTTCTCTGCCTCTGTGCCCCTTCCTCCTTCCTTCCCTTCCCTCCTTTCTTGGGGCAGGGACAGAACAGGAAACTGGAGCATGTCATGATCAAGTTCCCTAAAATCCTTTAATTGGTAATTCATTCAGTGTTCTAGATAAATAGGTTATTTCGTTGGGGAAAAGTAGAGAATTAGAACAAGCATCTGGAAAATCGAGAGGACACCAAAACTTGCCTTTTGGTATTAGTTTATAAATCTGTTCATGAAATTTTCCTCTAGAACTCACTGTTAAGATGCCTCACTATTCTATATCACCCTTATTCCAACTCTGTCTGTTAAGCGCCCCACCGGGTGCAGAGCACTGATAGAAAAAATATGAAAAGGCTCCTGTTGGGGTTAAAAGTACGGAGATTTGAAAAGATCTCCTTGGAGTCTCTTGAGACCTTAGGATTCATCAATAACATCCCCTAAACTAAGGGTTCAGCATGCATTACGCATATGACGGTGCTGTCCACGATAGTCTGGTAGTGGCAGCATGGCCTGCCATGTGGCCGTGGACATCTGGCCTCCTGCAAGGACATGGTTCCTGACAGGTGTGTGAGATGCTCACTGCCTGGACCCTGGCCGTGGCTGCGGGTCCCAGCCCGTCTAACGCTGGGCTCCCCTGCCCTCCTTGCTGCCCGTACACGGGGAAAGCCTCTAGCACTCATGCCACAATAAAATCCCCTTCTGGCTCAGGGGAGCTACTTAAAAGAAGCTTCTTTTAGATGAGAAATGACAGGAGAGTGTTTTTTGGTCTTCCAGCAGTTCAGGTCGTCATCTTGAATGTGGCCGGCATGTGTGCTGGAGGCAAGGGGCAGGGGTCAGAGCCAGGCCCTGTGGCAGGCAGCCTCACTCACCGGGGCCGTTTCTCTTCCTCACAACAGAGCGGTGCGGGGAATCATAGTACCTCTTGGAGTGACTCCGCTGGCTTATGGGACGTTGGCTTGGACCCTTTGTGACACCGTGCTGCATGGGACGATGACAACTCAGAGAGAAAAAAGGCCCGAGGTCACCCTCGCTTGCCTCCTCTTAGCCGCGGCAGGCTGCTTTGCCGACTTGAGTGAGTGCCTCCCTTCCCTTTCTCAGACCACCCCTCTTGCAAAAACACTTTGCCCCCTTGTGTCACATTCAGTAGTGACCCTTTAAAAAGGCCTTCCTTTTCCTGAATTTCAAAGAACACTTCATTCTCACCGGCCTTCGGGGATACTCTCAATAATGCAAGATGAGAAATCATCTTGGCAGCCTCATATTGGTTGTACTTTAGAACTGTAATCATTTCAAATATATACCAGTGGAGGAAGAGTGATAATAACTACCTTTAACTGAGCACTTACTGTATAGGATTACGGCAGGCAGTTGACATGCAGTGTTTGTAAGCTTCACAACAACCCTGGGAGGCATATTAGTTACTAGCCCCATGTTATCGGTAAGAAGTTGAGACACAAAGAGGCTAAAGTGACATGGCTCAGAAGCAGTGGCACTGGGGTTTGGGCCCAGGTCTGTCCAACCCCAAAGCCTAAGCTCTCGCCTTTGCTCCCCGCTGCCACTCCAGTCTGCCTTCTGAGAATTAGTACAGGCTGGGGAATGGGCCCAGGCACCGTGGAGTTCTTCAGAGGAAGATCAACTCCTCCCGGTCGCCCGGCTCTGAAAGGCCTCCCCGGTGCTGTGCTTCTAAAAAGGTCATGTTACTGGTTTCATGGGGGTGTTCGTTCATGGCTATGTCCCTGTTCTTCCTGCAGACCAGGTCCCTCAGGTCACTGTCCAGCCTTCTTCCACGGTCCAGAAGCTCGGAGGAGCGGTGATCCTGGGCTGCGTCGTGGAGCCCCCGTGGATGAACACCACCTGGCGCCTGAATGGGAAGGAGCTGAATGGCTCAGATGATGCCCTGGGCATCCTCATCACCCGCGGGACCCTCGTCATCACCGCCCTCAGCAACCACACCGTGGGACGGTACCAGTGTGTGGCCCGGATGCCTGCAGGAGCTGTGGCCAGCGTGCCGGCCACTGTGACGCTAGCCAGTGAGTGCTGCCCCTTTGCTCCTCTGCCACAGTGCACTCCCTCTCCCATTCTCTCTCTCCCCCAGACCATTCACAGCCCTTGTCGGTAGTGTTCATACGAAAGGGGGCCTTACAATTTGAAATTTCAAACCAGAGAGTGGTAGCTGCCCCGCAGTCCCCAGTGGTGGAGGACCACTGTGCCCCTGGGAAGCTGCTCTCTAAGTAGGGGCAGTGTGTGGAGTGAGTGTCTCGAAAGAGGGGAACTCGACATGGTTGAACTGTTTCCGTGCCACGCCTTTCGACTTTCCCTCTCTAGCTGTAGGTGTGGTAGTGCCCGCTCCTCCCCACCTTCCCCCCTTCTGGCTCAGGGGAGCTACTTAAAAGAAGCTTCTTTTACAGCAGTTAAGTTTCTCAGACACATTTTCCTTTTCTTGTCCGTGTCCAGATAATCCTTAAAAATAGCAAGGACCTAGACCTCAGTGAGGAATTCA